TGCGCTACAGCGCTGTAGACACCAATACCGGCCTACCCTACCCTCTTCAAGGAGGTCAGCCAACGCCTCCCCACGTTCGATTCTATTTCCTCCCTAGGATACGGTGTCTCGACTGCCCTGGCAAGTTGTACACGCCCGGCCCAGACACATCGGCCTCAAATTTCGAAGTACACTTGAAGAACAAAAACCACAAGGAAAGGGTTGAAGCTCGACTCTCATCTACGAAATGAGCCAACGGAATAGATCCTAAAAAGATACGATAGGGCCGACAATTGAGGAGCGAGAAAGGGAAAGATAATCCCGTGTATTGAATTGGAAAGTACGTGTTTTCTCTGATTGGGTGTTTCTAGCTGTATACCTAGATGTGGTCGCCATGGCAAATGGCTGTTTCGATACACAATGCTCTTATGCAAGCGAGCGTCGGAGTTTGTATTGAAAGGATGTATATGTATCTCTAGGGCATCCGGCCCTGTGTTTCTACCAGTTTGTACATACACCCCGTCAATATACATGATGGTACGTTCAGGCAACCTCGAGCTATAAACCAAGGCAAAATAGCATGTAGAGAGAAAGATCACCTACGGCTTTTTGAAACATCATTTGAACGTAGACGAAGATTCCCGAATTTCGGTGTAATCCATGGTTTCGGAGATTACTCATAATCCTGTTGTTGCTCGTGTTCACGCCTTCTTAGAGTCTGCCCCAACGCTCGAGATAGGGCCATCAGGACTTCGCATTTCTAACAAGATAATCCGATAAGAGAAGAACGATAGCCGAGCAGATCACCAAAACCATATGGGTTGAACTAAGCGAGCGGGACTAGGATATTAAACCATGTCACTATGACCTCACGATAGCGAGATGATCACGTTTGGATCGTACGGAACATATACCAATCTTAATCTCCGCACGGAACCAACTCTCCGAGGGGGGAAAAGAATCGCTTTACGCTTTGTCATCCTCGCCTAAGTTTGTTGGCATACCATCACATACGCAATAAGTGCAATATAGCTAGTAAGAAATGAAAACGCAGCAAGGACGTCTGATCACTAGTGAATACCTACTCCATCGAGTAACTAAAGATCGTCGGTCGCGCAGTCACAAAACCCACTATAGAGAGGGTACCTACTCTAATACTATTCTCACTAGCAGACAATCTCGTATGGAACAAGACTAAACCCATTAAAGGATGATCCTTCGACGACATTGATGATCATACAGGATCGGAGCTGTAGATTAGGGCAGCCGTCTTCCGTTATTACGGGATACGACTATGAGTGAGTCAGACAAGTACAAAGTGTACGCTAACCGTACGCATAATAGGGAGACATTAGGGCTAATCATATATTCTCCAGTATATCCCTGAGGAGCGATAAACCAATGTGTTTTAATTCAGCAGTACTGAAATACAAAAAAGGGTCCATCGGTGAGCATCACGTTTCTTCCCGGAATCGAGCGCGAGCGCGAGCAAGCCAGCCAGCAGCTAAACGACATTCTAGATAAATAATCCAAGTTCTTAGACACCCGAAGAGTTCTCGTAATGTACGGAGAGTGATAAGCACAATGAGAGCAAACTATGAAGATGTCATCTACTAGAAAGGTGCTTACGCGTCTACTCGTATTCTCCCGAATTCATGATGACAGCTCGCCCCCTTGTCTATCTAGCCCAGTGTCAAGAAACCCGCTCCCGCGATTTCGCGAGCCACTCCTCGAGAAGTCCTCTATGGGAGTTAGTGTTAGAAGAAATCGTATATTTGACTAATTCTTAGGATTCAGGGGAGCATGCAGGAGCACTTGGCAGCAAAATGCCACCCAAAATAGAGATAAGAGACTCAGAGACACGTACTTATAATCCGCGGGCAAGTGGGGTTGAACAATGTTCGCCCACAGATTACGTTTCCTCATAGTCCGCAGGCCCAGGTCCTCCAAGAGGAGATCAGTGTACGGGATGCTGTCGAACACGAGGTCCGGAAACGAGGCGCCCGAGCCCCCGCTCTCTCTCGGCCGCCGGAGTCGCTCGTACTCGGCGTGCCATATCGTCTCGTGGTATACGACTCCAGGCTCTAATTCTACGAGAAGGCGCCTGTCGAAGAAGGCCGTTATCCAGAGCGCCTGCGCCTGCGCTACGATCACGGCGTGGATGGAGCGATGCATGCCTATGAACGCTATGTTACGAAGTCGGAGGAAGCGGGGGGACGGGGGAACAAGGAAACGGTATAATTGATAAGGTGTCTCTCCAGGGTCCAGGGCAAGTGGTGTGCTTGAGTGAGGCTTGAGGCCTAAACTCCAATCTCTCTGACTCTTACAGTCTCTAGGTAGAATCCTCTTAGGCGAAAACCCTAGTTGTGTAAATCGCATTATTATTTGACTGTGAACCCGGGACCGGATATCCCGGTCTCGTTGGCCTTGAGCGACTGGCTCGTCACTGGCTGTTTTATCTTCGAACTGGTTAAAACCATCTTGGGAGGCCTTGCCGGTGCTTTGCTGGTGGGATGTGACCTCTCGTGGCAGGCCGATTTCCTCCGCTATACCCTCCGGCTTGAAGATAATAGGTGGCATACACTTCCACCCGGTACAGCAGGCCACAGCATCAGCCTTCAAGCTGCTGCCATCAGAAAGCCGTACCGTCGTTTCCTCGAGCAATGTCACATCGGCATGGTGAACTACGATCCGACCTTTCCTGACAAGTTCAAGCCAATCGGTCTCATAGTTATGTATGCTCAACGAGTTACCCATCCAGAAAGTCGATGTCCATGGCCTCAGCATTCTCAGCTGAGGGTCACCGTAGCCAGTGGCTGTGGCGGCAAAGAAATCTAGTGCAGCCCAGAACGCCCATGCTATCCACATACCGAGGATTGTTCCATGGAGGAATCGCCGAACCGAAGAGAAACTCGAGCCGAAAGGGCCAGGGTCGAACCAGCAAAACAACCGAGTAGACGACAGTCGAGCAAGTGTAAACTTTGCTCCGAAAAGGTACATGGGTCGCCACACCCAACTCGGGCCCCCTCCCGACGGCCTTATCACCATATGTGCGCGAGCTCCAGTCATAGCGACGGAGTAACATACGTCCCAGGCGGACTTGTTCCCACCGACAACGATCATCTCTTCACAGCCCTTCAAGTCTTGCAAATGTTCGTGGAGGCCCTTAGCATGGAATAGCGGACCTAGGAAGTTAGAACTACCCGGGAAGGTCGGCATTCGCGCTTCGGAGGTAAGGCCCGTGGCGATGACGAGCTTGTCGCAAGTCAGCTTTCTAGTCTGTGGTCGGTCCTCGGAGAAGTCTTTATAGTCGAGTTCCCACGTCCCGTTCTCTTGAAGCGAAGCTACTTCTACTCTCACTTGGTGACGAACTAGCTTATCAAGACCAAAGTATGACGCGAAATCCGTGAGATACCTATGGACCACCAAGCCGGGGATATGTTGGCCCGGTTTGAGCCCGTATCTCCCGGGTTTCGTTGGGAAGTCGCTGAATTCGTATGAGCCAACAACATTGTTCGTCTTCAGGCCAGAATAGAGCCGCTCCGCAGCCCAAGTACCGCCGATTGAACGGCCCTCGTCCAGGATAATAAGTCTTTGGGGACGGGTTAAACTAGCATTAACCAGCGTCCTAGCAATAGTAAGACCATGGAGACCTAAGACGACAAGTTAGCATATCCTCTAAGGGGATGCGGTTGTTGGGCTAAGGTAAAGAAAGATACCTGCGCCAACAATAACAATGTCGAAATGCTCCATAGCTGATGATGGTGAAGCTCAGCCCACTCGAATAATCAATATAGTAACGGTGCCTATACTATGCCGTGCAACGGTGCCCAACTCTCGTGGAGGACAGAGCATTGACCTTTAGATACTACCTAGGTCTCTGCCGCCTTCACATAACAGTCGTACCTCTCTCCATGTCTAACTATACCGATTGATCCTTATGATACCCAGATAAGTGCCTAACAGGCCACTTACATTTCTCTTGTTAAATTGCTGGATCGGCCATATGGGACCAATGGTAGAGTGCATGATTGGAACTAGACACAGAGCAGGAAACTGGTCATCGGATGAGGGGTTCCTCGGCAAAACCATCCCTGGTTATCAAATGCCATAACTAACCCAATACAGTACCGCGCATTCTTCAGTTCTATCTTAAAATTCGAAGACCGAATAGTGAGATGGATGTGTGACTGCGGCACAGCCCGGATTTGATAGAGAAGCGTTAGCGGTCACTAAAATGGCTATAGGTTTTCGGCATTACCACCCGATCTTTTTAGTACCGGACCGACCCGCGGGTCCGGATCTAAACTGATGCTAAACTTCTCCGTAGTCCGCTTCATCTAAGTAGCTGCTTTCTACCTGGGGGGCTTCTTCTCAAGCAGTTGATCCCATCAAGTTGAACAAAATGATATGAACATTCAACAGACAATACGTTTGCCTCAAAACTTAACTCATGCCGAATCATGAGATGCCATACCATCAGACCGGTGTGTTCGACTATAGCTGGAATGTGACTGGCAGTGATGGAATCGGCTCCATTCGCTTTTGAAAGGTTCACTTCAACGGACACCATTCATACTTTTTATACTCAGGCCAGCAAGCAAACAATGGTTTTCGTAGGTAGTAGCTGCGTGAATTCATGAGCCTTGATAATATTCCCTGACCACCAGGACGTCCCAATGCAACCACTACCTACGGAATACTACGCCTCAGGGGCCACATAGATCAAACTACCTATAGATCAACCTTATATGAGAAATTATCGTTTTCCAGGTCGAGCGAACGCATCCAACACGGCAGAGGCCTTCGATTCCATTACCAGAACCCCGTTTTCATACGAAATTCGAGATGTGACCTCGCTCCCAGCACCGACATGCCACGTCTGCGAGTCAGGTTTCTGTCGACGTATTCACTAACGAAGCGAATAAACACTCCCTGACCCAGTCGGCGCTACACCAGGCGCTCCAGCCCATTCTTGATACACAGCAATAGCCGTACTTCCCCTCAACAATAAACAACCAGCCCATCTAGCGCAATGGTAACGCGACCTGGCAGTGTTGGGCCGGCGCTTTACCACTACCTAATAGTAGAAGGTTATAAGACCGACGGAACCTTCAGGGAGTCTCTTGGTTCAAATCTAAGGATGGGCAGCCCCTTTTTTTAGTCTTTATCCTCTCGAATGTTACTAATAAGTAATAAGTAATTTTTTCATGCTCTCCGTTTATTTCTCGACCCCACCATCGCCGCTCGTGATCTTGCTCTCGTGCTATTCATTGTTGTCGAGGATAATCTAGGCAGGGTTGTGATATCGATGATCGTCTTTCTGACATCGAGGGTCCATTTCTAATCTCCGGGAGGCGGAGTTTGCGCGTAGGCCTCGTCGCTGATATGGTCGACGACGATTAAGCGGTGGACGAAGGCAGACTTGATATCCAGGACGTCATTAGCGGCGTAAGGCTCGTGCAAGTCGACGCTGATGGTCTCAGGCCCCGCTTCGTACGGTACGTGTCCTAATGGGCTTTCGGTGGGGAAATGGCTTCTTATACACTGATCTATACCAAGACTAGAGGTATCCAAACCTAGTGCCAGTAGCCCAATTCCAGCCCTTTAGTGATGGGGGTTACAGATGTCTAAGGTCTCTTGGAGGATTGGCAATACCGCTTCTGTAGAACTTAGTTGTATTATAGACATATCGCCCTCTAGGAGGTCGTATTTCAGCAAGCGGGTCGAGACAGTATACGTTATCTTCGTCGGCTCCTCCGGTACCTACGACACTAATGATGCTGTATCATTCTGATGCGTGGCTCTGGGATTCGAGGAGTATTACTTCTTGCTGGCTATAGCTTAAATACTCTAGCAGCTCAGTAGGCGAGGCACAAGCTGCTCTATGTTTCTTTTTTCTCAAGGACATATTATCGTTCCCCGCAATCTCACGCAACCTCCGCGATAAACCGTGGCCAACTGTATACGTTTACCTAACTGATCGAGGTTAGCAAACCTTGTAGGGGTGCTCATAACGCTCTCTTTCGTTTCCTCTAGCCCTCGCCCATGGAGCAGGGCCGCTGCACAGCGTCGTCAGTTCTTAATCAGTTTTTTGCCAGCTTCTAATGTATGTATCAATTCCGGATAGAGCTGTATGCCCTAGGGTGGCTTCGGCGCATGTCTTACTACCATCGGTATAGAATCATTCACCTCATCATTGATGTCCCAAGCCAGTGGTTCCAACAAGGGGCAGGTTGGGCCCAGTTCCCATTACACGTCATCCTTGGAGCTTTCAGTATGGAACTAGGTCCCAATTCATCAACTCGACATCAACACGGTAGGATACCACTATAATATTCCAATGGCAATTCGTAATCCCTGGCCACCACCTTCGATAAAAATGATCATGATTGAAAGGAATACGCAATCTTTACAAAAGCTACAAGAAGATACATGAATTGAGGGAATCCTCAGATTCCGTTAATGTATATTGAGGGAGCGATGATTGATAATAATTGACAGCGGCCGAAACCATCGTCACTATCAAGCTGGCGTTAGGCCGGAGCTATCGGTTCTAGTTCTAAATATGTCCAGCACATATCACTAACCAAGACACGCCACTACACGGATATCATACTTAGTACCTTTTTGGGTCCTCGGCAAGTACCATGCCTTCCCCCTGGCTGTCTTGGATTATTAAATTTGTTTCAATACCACACTCGTGACGGCGCACAGGACTAAGATAGAACAAGGAGCAATTATCTTGTAACGAGCTTGGGGACATTCTTAGGAGTTGGCAACGGGATATTCGAAGTGCTAATAGAGGCCCGCTTGGTTTGGATGTACTACGGTATACCACCATATACAGGTTTGAATCAACTCATCTATTAGTGTCTCGAGGTTGTAGGATTATGTACCAGTCATAATAATGATAATATATAAAACAAAAACAAAAAACATACAACACCAGGGATTCGCTGGTCGTCACCGACCCAACTACTAATCTGGCACTCACTAGCTTATCTATGGGAGAGCGGACGGGATCCCGAGTTCTCTAGAGGTTATGGTCGTATGTATCTGAAGGTGGTTCAAACTTGACTTATATACATAGTGATGGACTGCCCTACCTACTTCCACAGAAAACTAGCCACTATTACTAGCATGCCTTTTCTAGGTGATAGCTATTAAGCAGCAAAAGAACGCGAACCAGTCACGTTCTAGCAAACGCTGTCGTAAGGAACATACAATGTGCTGTTATGAGTATGGGTATGATTTTCGATAATAAATAACTTCTATCACTTCGACCAAATTGCTGCCCAGGCATAGGCTTTTTTCCTAAATGTCACTAGTCATGTGGCACTGGCGAATCCCCTAGACAAATCGTAGTACGGTGCATATGATTTTTGGTTGTATCCGCGATTAAAATAAATTACAGTACTATGCATGTCTCAGTGAAAAACCACCTCCATATTGGGTAGGGAGCCATCACATGTTTCCTCCTGAAGCCACCAGCTCAGCTATTTTAGTTAGCACTATATGCGGATCTCGCTATGAGGAGTAAACCCCGACCTAATTCATCCGAGCGTGTGCCGACGTATCATCCATAAAGCGATGTTCTATTTTCGGATGGATCGAGGAGGCCGTCGGCGATTCGCAAACCCCGCGGACACTCGGACACGCTCCCATCTCGTCGGAGTCATCACCGACGGAGTATCTACCCGGAGATATCTAACTGCGGCATTGACAACAACCCGGGGTCCGGAACCCAGGATCTTAAATTTTTTTTTTTTAGTTTTGTCTCTTCCCTTATTCAGTAGGCCCGCGGCTCCGCTAACACCCTCCTCTTATAACTACAGGTGTGGAATAAGTTGAATACTGTAAAAATACGATAAAATTCGACGCCCACTAAGATGACTACTAACTGTTAGGCCGTAGGATAGGCTGCCGCGCAACCCATGCACACAAAATAGACTTCAACTAAAGCCGTCGCGCAATGGCCTTCTACGACGTTGGCTCATAAAATTAACGTCTGTATTATATGTAAACACATCCACCGATGGTTACGTTCTTGCCTCGTCCGCCGTCCTTAGCAACGGACTGTACAATCCAGACTACGATTGGAAATTAAACAAATGAACTAAATATTAAATAACTGCGGGAGGGGGAGACTAGAAAGGGGAAATGGAAGGGGGTAAGGGGGGCGGTAGTTCCTTAATACTATCGACAGACGACATGCTTTACCGGATGCTGGCTCGGATCTCGTCCGCCTTATGTGACCATTCTACCAGAATTTCCAGGGTGAAGCCTTCTGCTCCAAATCGCGTGTCTTCGCCGATGCATAGGCATGGCGACTATCTCGCCCGCCGTAGTCATAGTCCTGCTGTTGCTTCTTTGGGGCGTTCTTGTGTTCCGCATCTCGCGCCTTCAATGAAGCTTGTTGCCGGTGGTTCCCCTCCGCCTCTCTTCGCTTGTGTTCTTCTTCGATCACTTGGCCCGAGTCTGTGTCTTGCACATTCCTCCGTCGAGATAGCTGTTCTAAGATTGCCATCTTAGGCGGGAATCGCAGGGACGAGAAGGATTGAAGGATGCTCAGATAAGAATCCGACTTTTCTGCTTGAAATTCCATGTATTTGGCGCCTTCTTCCATCAAGTCCCTGAGGCCAGTTCCGAGAAGATGCTCCATACGCGTTCGGTGCTTTTCCAGCTGTTGGTGCGTTACATTTTCCCGAAATGTATCCCACATGGTACTACAAATAACGATACGGTTGTAGAACCTCCTGCCACACATGGCCTTGATGATTTCAAGGTTGAGCTTGGAGTCTCCAATCAGTTTTGTGTCTGTGATGGGATGGCAGTATACAACACCCGACACGCCGTCGAGGGATTCGGAAATATCTTTTAGGACGTCAAAGTCGCGTTTATGCGGGTCGTCGAATCCAGGTGTATCAATCAATTCGAACTGTGTGCGGTCTATGTCGTGCGGAATATAGTACGACTTGCATACTTGTGTGCCTAATTGAAATAGCAATCAGCAATGACAAGTAGAAACGTGTACACGGATGAAGATATATTACACGAATCTCCGTCGTGACCGATCCCCACGTCACGACCCGTAGCCTGAGAAACAAATGTCGACTTCCCCGATCCTGTGACGCCTACCACTAGGATTCGTACGGCCCTAGCCGGGGAGCCGGGAATTTGGTAATCAGGCTCAACGTAGCTTCTGTCAGCCATTGTAAGAACTTCAGAAGGGCTGTTCAAGGAAGCCTAAAATATTGGGAAACCTCGCCTCAAGGCAAGTGCCGTTTATCCCGTTTTGTTGAATTCACTAGCTAGAGGGAAACTATAAGGTGGCAGTAATTATATCGCATCACAGCAGTATAGTACTATTTATTTTGCACCAAAGCTTGGTAAGAAGTTAATGATAAAAAGTCAGCAGGACCAGAAGGGAGGAGGCGTCTACCCGAATTTTCCGCCGTCAATTAAGGAACTAGGCAGACCCAAAGAGTGCCAGAGAATTGATTTCAATACCGTATTCATGTGCAGAATCGATTGGCTCCAATAGCGAGTTTTGTGCTGCAATGCTACCTACCATTTCACAGACTCGGCATAGCTCGTTGGCCAACGGCGTGCTGCGATATGTAATGCGATCAACCGAAAGCAGAAACAACAGGTAATCACGTAAGGCTACAGAAAAGCTAATATCAAATCATCCATAAATGAGGCGCGAGACGCATCAGGAGGGGGACGCGTGCATCACGGAGTGTATTATGGATGTATGACTCGAGACCAACCACCGCAGAGAGCCAAGGGACTAGTAGAAACGGCATATTGTGCGGATTTTCTAGGCGGCATGCGGCTGCGTTCCCGAAATATGTACCATTAATACATAAGCATTCTCCCTGTGCAGTCCGTCAACTATATATGCCTTTGCAGTGTCGTAGATGACACATACTAAACCACACGGCATCTTCATCACAAATATCCCAGAACTTTCACCTACCATTACCTCCTTGTACCTTCATTTCGTCTGTAGAATAGTTATAGGCTAGTACAAGCTCCCTTTCTCGTCATGAGCGACACAGAGATACGTCTAGCTATCTTTGGGGGAACTGGTGAAGGCAAAACGTCCTTCGTCGTTCAGGCAACAGATGCACCCCTTGAGATA